CCTCATGCCTAGGGCTCACCTCTGCTCTCACTTCCAATTCTTAGAATCTTTAGCCTTCTTCAAAGCTCAGCTCAAATGCTACCTCCTAAATGAAGCTTTCCTGGACCTCACAGCTGCCAGTGCTTTTCTCCCTCCCCCACAATATTATCCTTTATATATTTTATAGGGGCAGCTAGGTGATAAAGTGAATAGTGCTGGGCCTGGAGTCAGGAAGAGTCATGTTACCGAGTTCAAATCTGGCCTCAGATACTTACTAGCTATGTAACTCTGTGCAAGTCACTTAACCCTGCCTGCCTCAGTTTCCTCAAGTGTAAAATGAGCTGGAGAAGGAAATGGTGAACCACTCTAGTATCTCTGCCAAGAAAACTGAAGAGTTGGACATAACTGAACATTGACATATTTTGTATATTACATGAATTTGTATACATTATTGTCTTCCCCTAGAAGAATGTGAACTCCTTGAGAGCAGTGAATACAGCATTTTTATTCTTGTATCCCCAGCACCTTACACAGTGATTGATTAGATCCTAAGGTCCCTTTAAGCACTAACATTCTAGGAACCTATTGCTAAAATAGGTAGCGCAGCCTTTTTATTCTGTCCCAGGAAGTGATAATTCCAGAGTTCACCTATCCTTCACAGCCTCCCACTTCTACCAATACCCTGCAGGAGATTTTCTTCTCAGTCCTCTGAGATAAGCTTCCCCAGACTGCTCTATTATTTAAACTTCCTTCTTCAAGACATTTCTAGGGTGGTCCACTATTTTTCTGAGTTCCCGACATTTGTTTATATAATTATCTTGTCTGCCATATCTTAGTCACTGAATTCTGGGAGTGGCTCTTCTCCTTTCCTTATTTGGCTGCCACTGCCCCCTGAAGCCTCCAGTCTCATCTACATATCCTCTTACATAACTCCTTCCCAGTTGGAGACTTACTCAGGAAACACTTGGTAGCTATTGATAAATTACAACTCGGGCACAAGCCCTTGAATAAGAGGAAGCATTGAATAGTGGAAAATGCATTGATTTGGGGTCAGAGGATCTGAGTTTGAGTCCTGCTTCTGTCATTTACTAGCTATGAGACCTTGGGCGAGTCATTTAACCAGAATCTCAGGTTCCTCTTCTATAAAATGATGGGGTTGTATTAGATGGTCTCTTCTAGTTCTTTCAGATCCTGGACTCTTTAGACATAGCAGTCAGTAAGTCCGTCAATAAACATTTATTTAAGCATCTACTATGTGCCAGGCACTATGCTCATGCCCACCATGTGCCTCTCCATTGCCCTTTTGGTCAGACAACAAGCTGTTGTTATTGTTGGTTTTCCAGGTGGGTCTGACTCTTTGTGACCCCATTAGGGGTTTTCTTGGCAAAGATGCTGGAATGGCTTGCCATTTCCTTCTCAAGCTCATTTTACAGAAATTGAGGCAAACAGGGTTAAGTGACTTGCCCAGGATCACACAGCTAGTGTCTGAGGCCAGATTTGAACTCAAGAAGATAAGCCTTCCTAACTCCAAGTTCTCTATCCACTGCATTGCCTAGCTGCCTCCAACAAGCTTTTAGTAAGTGCCTACTACATGCCAGGCCTTGTGATAAGCACTGAGGAGACAAAGAAAGGCAATTAACAGTCCCTGCCCCTGGGGAGCTCACGGTCCAACGGGAGAGACAATGTGCAAACAATAACATACAAACAAACAAGATATATACAGGATAAACTAGAGATATCCATCTAGCAGAAGGCACTACGATTAAGGGGGATCAGGAAAGGCCCCTAAACAGCTGGGTATCTGAAGATAACTTCCTGCCATGGAAGCTACCCTCTAATATCTCCTGTTCCTGTCAACCCACTCTCTTGGCTGGGTTCTGCACACACGGCTTCTCTTGATATCTTCCTCCCCACTCCCCATCTGCAATGGAATATCAGCTTCCTGAAGGCAGGAGCTGGTTTGTTGTTGTCTTTGCATCCCCAGCATCGAGCAGAGGCTTAGTAAGTGCTCATTGAGTTACTGGGTACAGGGATGCTGGGGGATTCGCCCAATACATAAGAGTACAGATTTAGAGCTGGACAGTATCTTGGAACTCGTCTAGTCCAGCGCCTTTCATTTTACACTGGAGGAAACTGAGACCAGGAGAAGTGAAAGGCCTTGCCACCCCAGACCTCACAGATACCAAGTCACAGAACTAGAATTTAAGGCCAGGTCCTGCAAGTCAGAGACAGAGCCAGCCCTCTTTCTACACTGCTTGATTATCCAAGCTTCTCTCAAAGGAGAGGGTTAGGGACAGCTAGGTGGTGCAGTGGAGAGAGCACCGGCCCTGAAGTCAGGAGGACCTGAGTTCAAATCCGGCCTCTGACCAAACACTTGACACTTACTACCTGTGTGACCCTGGGCAAATCACTTAACCCCAATTGCCAAAAAAAAAAAAAAAAAAATATCAAAGGAAAGGGTTAAAAGTGATCAGAGACTTGGTTTCCAGGATCCTAGATGACAGAAGACAGGGATCAGGTGAATCTCAGACTTTGGTATTCCATGGACCTGGGAGTGAAGAGGCAGCAAGCCCTCTAGATTTGGAGTCAGAGGAACTAGGTTTGGAATCTGAGCTCTGCTACTTATTACCTGTGTGACTGTAGGAAAATCACTTAACCTCTCTGGGCCTTAGTTTTCTTAATTGTAAAATTAAGGGGACTGGACTAGAAAACTTCCATGGTTCCCTCAGCTCTATATAGGACTTATTATCTGTAGGAGGCATGCATTTGAAGGTCAATTTACTAGGGACATAGATTCAGAACTACATAGGATATTAGAAGTCACTTAGACCAATACTTCACTGACACTGGTGAACCATATCACCTGCAATCCAGCCACCATCTTCAGCCTCATCCCCCTCCCAACTGTACCCTGAGACCACCGTGGGCTCTGAAAGACAGTTTTCTGCTTTTATCTTTCCCAAAGCTAGGCTTTCACTCCCCAGCCATTTCCAAAGCCGTGAGTAGCATTTCCCGCCCCACCCCTCTTCTGACTCCCCTTTGTGTGTTATCTTGTCTCAGTAGAATGTAATTACCCTGAGGGTAGGGGATGTTTTGCTTTCATTTATTAATATCCCTGGAGCTTAGCACAGTGCCTGGCACAAAGAAGTGTTTAACAAATGCTTTCTTAATATTACCAATACCCTCACTTTGAAGATAAAACTATAGGTGAAGTGAACTGCCAGAGTCACACAGGTGGCAGAGATACATCCTGAACCCAGGTCCTTTCACTCCAGATCCAATGTGCCATACACTGAACTTTTAATCTAACTTGTTCTCCAAGGAAAATGCCATGGGGCATCCTCTCCTGAGACCATGCCCTGGGTGACTTAGCTCACTCAGCTTTAGAATGATGGCCCTGAAACTGTAATGCCTTGGTTGGTAAATCAGTTAATATGGATGCAGATGGCCTGCTATATCTTCTTGATCCCAGAACTCTGATTATGCTTCACATTCCATTTGACTGTCTAACACTTAATTCCCAATGACTTTCATCCCACCAAGTCTTCTTCCTCTTACTCTGGCAACAGTAAGCAAATCACTACAGTTGCTTCTAGAATGTCTTGATCGATTTTCCTAGGGCTTGACTCCCCAACCCCTGGGACGTTCTAACCATTCTTCTCAGATCACTACTGCCGTATTTGTGTTGTGATAGCTTCTATATATCTTGTATGGATCTTGTATAAACATAGTTTGTTTGCATGTTGTCTCCCCCATTAGACTGTGAGCACTTTGTGAGAAGGGACTGTTTTTTGCCATTCTTTAGATCCTCAGGCATGCCCCTGAAAGGGGGACAGATTTGGGTAGCCCTGGAGTGGCATTTGCAGCAGGCCCTTTGCTCAGCATCTTACATAGCATGTGAGTTCTAGGCTTAGTGAGGGTGGGCAGGAATACTAAAAAGGGGCAGAAATTGACATCACACCTCTTGCCCAGCTAAGGGATTTAATTAAAATCTTATAAGCAATATACTCAGAGGACACTTTTTCCCTTGAATTCTTTCCTTCCCTTTCTTCCCCTTCCAATTACAGAAAATCTAAGACCTAGGCAGGACAGAAAGGAACTACTCTGACCTTTTACTCCTCACCCCAAGAGAGGAACTCTGCAACAAGCTAGAGGGAGGAGGGAAGAGAGAGAAGGAAGAAAGGAGGAGGGAGGAAGGAGAAGGAAAGAGAGAGGAAATCTCAGATGGTGTATTTCAGCTTGCCAGGCTTCCCCAATAATAGCTAAAAGCCACATGAGATGATCCTATCTTCTTACAGGTAGAGAGAGGCACACACTCATGTAGAGGTGGTGCGGTTGAGAAGACAGTGCTGAACTTGGGAGTCGAAACCTAGCTCTGACCCTTACCCGCTCTGAGCACAAATTTTCTTCACCTACTTATCTCACAGGGTACAGAAAATGTTCTGTTAAACTCTAAAGCACAATATAAGTGCGAATTGTCATTCTGTCACAGAATCATACGTACAGCATTTGAAGGGAGCATTGAAGTTATCTAGTCCAACTGCCTCATTTTACAGATTAGGAAACTAAGGCCCAAAGCAGGAAAGAGACCTGTCCATAGAAGCTGGAAAGTGAGTAGTAAGCAGAAGAGCCCTGGGACGCCAGATCCTGTTCCTTCTCGCATGAAAGGCTGAGGGTACCAGGAAAAGGTTCCAGTGGGACCTCTATGAGTCCCTAATAAACCACGTAATTCTACGTTCATCCCCCGGGCCACCTTGTGCGCTTCGGCCCGGGGGGAATAGAAGGGATGCGGGTCAGTAGAGCGGGAACAGAGCGAGTTAGGCAGGGGGCGGGGCCAAGCTGGGCGGGCCAAGTTCAAGCTCAAGCTCAGGGGAACTCCAGGCTTGCGTGCAGCAGCTGGGGGCCCAGCCCAGGCGCCAGGTTTTAATCGCGCGGTGCGGCCTCCCCGGGTGCGCCCACTCCAGTACTCCACCCACGTGGCCGAAGTCCCCGCTGGTGGCCCGGCGGGAGGCCCCCCTCACCCGGTAGTCGCGGGCCGTGCTCTGCACTGGCTGCACGCGGTGGCCCTGGTGCCGCGGGTCGCCCTGGCACGAGCCGCACAGCAGCTCCTTGTCGTCCAGGCAGAAGAGGCTGAGCTGGCCGTGGTGCAGGCGGCAGAAGCGGGGCCCCCGCGGGCGGGCCGGGCAGGCCTCCTCGCGCAGCAGCTTCTCCACCAGGTTGTTGAGCGTGTGGTTGGTGCGCAGCCCAGCCGGGGACGCCCGCTCCTTGCACACAGGGCAGGCGGGCGCGTCCTGCAGTTCCCAGCAGCGGCCCACGCAAGCCCGGCAGAAGTTGTGGCCGCAGCGGAGAGTCACCGCGTCGCGGAACGGGTCATAGCAGATGGCGCAGAGCAGCTCCTCCTTGAACGAAGGCGACGGCCCCACCGAGCCGCCGGCCCCCGGCTCCATGCCGCGGCCCCGGGTCTGACGCGCCGTCCTGCGCTCCCAAACTTTCCAAAGTGTGCGTGGCCCCTCCCCGCGGGTGACTCAGGCGTGGGCTCACCCCACCCTACACCACCCCACGCAGTGCTCTGAGTGACACCGCAGCTGGCCAACCACTGTGGAGACGGTTTGCCCATTTTCCGTCAGCCTTGCTTCTCTTAAAGCTATTGCTTTCTGGGCGGGGCTGGAAGGTGCCCTGCGGGGGATGGGGGAGGCTTGGCGCCTCCATTCCTATCCACACCCCACCCTCCCCCGTACCCATTCCCAGAGTTTGCCTAGCTGAGCTGAAATGTACATTCTATCCACCTCTAAGCAAAAACCCCAATGCATTACCATAACCCAGTTTCCCACTTGGGATCATCAACTGAGTTTCTGGAAACCCCTCCTCTTCCCTCTTCATCCCCATCCCAGATCCAACGGCCAGAGCACTGAGAGCTTGGGTCTGAGATGCAGGAGCTAAGAACCATGCTTTTGATTCTAAATCTATTCTTAACTCATCAGAAGCAGAGGTACTCCCTCTGTCGGTAGAGAATGCAAAACCAGCCCTGCCCTTTCATCCTTGCTTTGTTTCTGCTTTTCAAAATGCTTTTATGTCTATCACCTCCTGTTATTCCCATTTTACAGAGAAAATGGAGGTACAGTACAATGAAACTAGGACAGCTAAGGGACTCAAGTGGGGAGGAAGTGGAGGTGAAGAAAATATATAGATATAGAGAAAACATGGCCTGGATTTGGACTGGAAGAACTGTTTGTGACTCTAAAGACAACTAAAAAGGTAGCTTGGGCAATGAGAGGAAATATCTAGGTTCAGTTCTGAGTTCTGTATACAAATGACATAATAGTTTCTGCCTCAATCCTCTCAATGGAGGAAATTTCCACACTGGAAGTTCCCTGCACCCATAAAATCATAGGGGAAAAAATACACCGGAAATCATTTTACTTTATATAAAAATTAATCAGAGGAAGTGGATCTGACAATCAAAGTGGAAATAATACTAGTTCTCTAAGAACCAGAAGGGGGCCTAAAAGGCCCTACCTAGGACTAGACTGTGGATTAAAGGAAGAGGAGATAGGTAGTATCTGGGAGCACTCATTGTAGCAGGATTATATCTGAGTCAACCTCTTCTTTTTTGGCAGTATGAGGGTCTGTAAAAGTGAAGTAAGCTGCCTGACCAATGTGAATCAGCCATGATGGGACACCACTGTGTACAACTCATGCCCTGAGATGCCCTCTTGCCAGAGAATGAAAGAAAAAGCTAGAATCCAGGGGGAAATTTTTTTTATGGGGAAAAAGAGAAATCCTTTATTCCCTAGTTCACCCTAATTTTTTTTATATCAAGGGTAGAATCACTAAAAAAGGACCTGTGAGATTTAGTTAGTAGCAAATGACCAAAAAGCATATTTGTCTGGGTTTGGTACATTAACTTACTTCATAGTCTCTGTTTTGATGTCCCATTGTTAGCTCAAAATCAACAAGGCCAAAACCAAACGTCTTGATTCACTCCCTGTAAATGGGATTTTCCATTTCTAGAAATAACATTCTGATAGATTGTAAACTCCCTGAGGGCAAGGACTGTTTCCTTTTTGTCTTTGTAACCCCAGCATTTGGCATGTGCCTAGTACTGTAATAGTATTGACTTCTGATTCCTACCTTTATTTCATAGAATCACAGAATGTTTTTTTCTAGTTGAAAGAACCATCTAGAACACACAATAAATAGTAAAAGGAATCTTCACTCTTACATCCCTGAAAAGTGGACCATCCAACTTAATGGTATCCTTTTTTCTTTCTTTCTTTCTTTCTTTCTTTCTTTCTTTCTTTCTTTCTTTTTTGCTAGGCAATGGGGTTAAGGGACTTGCCCAGGGTCACACAGCTAGTAAGTGTCAAGTGTCTGAGGCCAGATTTAAACTCCGATCCTCCTGACTCCAAGGCTGGAGCTCTATCCACTGTGCCACCTAGCTGCCCCTTAATGGTTTCTTATGAGGAGGAATCTACTACCCCAGCAGGTATGCAATTCTACTTATACATAGGTCTAATAGGAAATTTTTCCTGACATCAAACCTAAATTTATCTGTTTTTAACTATTACTCCTTACTATGCCCTTTGGGGCCCTAATAGAATAGAAATAATTCCTGTTCCGCTTAACAGATCTTCAAATATTTGAATTCTATCTTATTTCTCTCTGTGTCTCTCTTTTCTAGGCTAAACATCCCCAGTTCCTTTAAGGGATTCCTCATATGACGTGAACTCAAAGCCCTTCACCATCCTGGTAGCCTTTCTTTGGATGCTTTCCAGTGTTCTTAAACAGTGATGGGTACAACTGAGCACAATACTCCAGATGTGGTCAGAGTACAAAGGGATCATTGCACCCTTAGTGCTGATAACTATGGCTCGATTGATGCATCCCAAGATTGCATTAACTTTTTGATTGCCATATTACATTGCTGATTCATTGGGCTTGGGGTCCATTAAAACTCCCACATATTAAAACACACACACACACACACACACACACACACACAAAACCTAACTATGCCTCTATCATCCTGTATTTGTGAAGAACATTTTTTAAATTTTTGTAAGGAACATGAGATGTGATTTCTTCCCCTTCTCTGCCCCCCACTCCCACTTTCACCCTCAGTTAATGTAGTCACAGAAGGTTGTAGCACTTGAAGTTTTCTTAAATTCAATTTTATTTTATTTTCAGTTCTGAATTATCTCCCTTCCCCTCCCATTGAGAAGGCAAAAAAAAAACAAAAAAACAAACCCATTACAAATATGTACAGTCGTGCAAAATAAATTCCTGCATTAGTCATGTCAAAACAAAAAAAAGAAAGAGAAGAAAATATGCTTCAACCTACACTGAGTCCATCAGCTCTCTATCTGGAGGTGGATAACATGATTCATCATGAGCCCTTTGAAGAGGTAGTTGGTCATCATGTTGATTACTAAGTCTTTCAAAGTTGGTTATCATTAATAATTAATGTTATCATATAAATTGTTTTCCTGGTTCTGCTCACTTCACTTTGCATCATTTCACACAGGTCCTAGGTTTTTCTGAAACTATCCCCTACCTCACTTGTTATAGCACAATAATATTTCATCACAATCATATATCATAACTTCTTGAGCCATTCCACAATTGATGGACATCCCCACAGTTCCCAATTCTTTGCCACTACAAAAAGACCTGCTAAAAAATTTTTGTACATATGAGTCCTTTTCCATTTTCTTTAATTTCTTGGGTATAGACCTAGTATTAGTGTGGTTAAATCAAGGGTATGCAGGGTTTAATAGGTTTTTTTGGGGGTATAATTTCAAATTGCTTTCCAGAATGGTTGGACTAGTTCATAGCTCTATCAACACTACATTAATGCACCTGTTTTCTCCATCATGTCATTTTTCTTTTTTTATCACTTTAGTCAATTTAATGGATTTGATGTAGTACCTCAAAGTTGTTTTAATTTACATTATTAATGATTTAGAGCATTTTTTTTTCACATGGCTTTTGATGTCTTAGATTTTTTTTCCTCTGAAAACTGCCTCTTCATATCCTTTGGCCATTTATCAATTAGGGAATGGCTCTTTTTCTTGTAAATGTGACTCAGTTCCCTAGATATCTTAGAAATAAGACCATTATCAGAAAAAACTTGCTGCAAAGGCCCCCCGCCCCACAATTTCCAAATTGGTTTTGTTTGTGCAAAACCTTTTTAATTTTATGTAATTAAAATTATCCATTTTACTTTCTGTGAACTTCTCTTTCTCTTGTTTGATCATGAACTTTATCTCTATCCATAGCTATGAAGTGATTTCTTCCATGCTTCTGTAATTGATTTATGATATCACACTATATGTGTAAATCCTATACCCATTTGGAGCTTGCCTTGTTACATTGTGTGAGATACTGATCTATACCTTTTGCCAGACTACTTGCCAGTTATTTCAATGGTTTTTTGTCAATAGTGAATGCCCCAATAATTGAGATCTTTGGGTTTATCATGCTCTAGGCTAGTATGCTCATTTGTTTGCTTCTGAAATACAGTATATATCTAATCTGTTCCACTGATCAACGTCTGTCTTTTTTTTTTAACCTCTGTCTTTGTTACCCAGCACCAAATTGTTTTGATCAATTCAGCTTTGTAATATGGTTTGAGATGTGGTACTGCTAAGTGTCCCCATTCCTTTCCATTTTTTACATTGAGTCATTTGATATTCTTGAACTTTTGTTCCTCTAGATGAATTTTGTTATTATTTTTTCTAGCTGTATAAAGTAATTTTTTGGTCATTTGATTGGTATGACACTGAATAAGTAAATCAATTTAGATAGCATCACCATTTTTATTATATTGGTTCCACCTATCCATGAACAATTAATAATTTTATAATTATTTAGATTGTTTGTATGAAAAATATTTTGTAATTGTGTTCATATAGTTCCTGTGTGTGGCTTGGCATGTAGACTTTCAAGGATTTTATACCCATAGTCATTTTAAATGGAATTTCTCTTTCTATATCTTCCTCCTAGATTTTGTTGGTAACATACAGAAACATTGATGATTTGTATGGGCCTATTTTGTATCTTGCAACTTTGCTGAAATTGTTCTTTGTTTTGATTAGTTTTTTCATTGACTCTCTAGGGTTCTATAAGTAAGTCATGATATTATGGGCAAAAAGTGATGGTTTTATTTCCTCTTTGCCTATCCTTATTCTTTCAATTTCTTTTTCTTGTCTTATTATAGCTAGCATTGCTAGTACAATATTGAATAATAGTGGAGATAATGGACATTTTTGTTTCACCCACCCACACATCACCCCTCCCCCATTGTTGGAAAGGCTTCTAGCTTATCTCCATTACAGATAATACTTACTTTTGGTTTTAGATAGATACAACATATCATTTTAAGGAAAGTTCCATTTATTCTTATGATTTCTAATGTTTTAAATAGAAATGGATTTCTTATTTTGTCAAAAA